GTTCCGCGGTCTTCCAAGTAAAGAGACGAACGCTTTTACTTTCAACTTTTGACCTATTTTCCTTTAATTAAGGCTTATTTTCGAAGATGCCGAAAACGGCTTGTTTTCAGTGACGTTGTTCAGAAAGGTGGTGGACGAATACAAGCTGCACTGTAGAGAAAATAAGTAGTTTAAAAGTTGCAGTTTTTGTTCCAAGCTTCATCGAGTTCTTCTTCACAAGGTTTATAGTGCGGGAGTTCGTCTACGACGAGAATGCGCTACTTCAAGGAAAGAGCGAAAGGGACAAGTTGGCGGCCGAAAAAAACAAGCAGTTCGCACCCTTAGTTCGTTGGCTGAAGATAAACTTCAGCGAGATATTTTCGGCATGGATCCACGTAAAAGCGCTGCGGATTTTTGTTGAATCAGTGCTAAGGTAAGTTTTTCGTTGGCTGTTTAGTCTAACGGTATTAGTTTACCCGTAAACCGTTCGATTTGTAAAACAGGCATGCTTCGCTTTCTCTAAGCCTTGTTGAAAATAAGAATTATTGCAGATTTTTCAAAGGTACTACAAAATTAATGATTTTAAATTTCACGAGTTCTTTACAAGATGACACTGTATATAGAATTTATTAAAACTAAATTTTCCAACTTTTCTGACCATGCTCTCTACGTGTTCAAGAAGTGACAATAGTGAGCTTTTGTCATTTACTACAATTCTCGCCATATAGTGTTAGTTTCTTGTAATAAAGTTGTTCTTTTACCTCGAGCATTGGTTCTTCAGATACGGTTTGCCAGTAAATTTTCAAGCTGCACTGCTTCTACCGAGCAAGCGATCTTTAATGAAAAAGCTGCAAGAAGTTCTGAATCAACTGTATTCTCACTTGGACGTGGGCAACTTTGGCCGAGCAGATGTATGATTCTTCTATCTTGCATGGTGTACGATTTTAACAACTGTTTGTTTTACTAGGCTAAAGACGAATTTGCCGAGATGCTCAGCTTTGGACGTCACGATTACTACCCTTATGTGTTTTTCAAAATTAGTATCGATCTGGCAGAACCTGGAAAAGCTAAGTGAAGCCGCATTTAGGGCGATTATTAATCAGTGATGATGGGCGGGACAGAATAATGAATCCAGGGTCGATGGTTTCTCGAAAGGACGTAGAGTGTATAGGTTGAGACTGCGAAATGAACTGTGATTAAATTGTGATTTTTTATCTTTCTTGTCATTCGATCTGACTGTCGTGATTCTTTTCATTATCCAAGAGAAATATCTGTTGTATGCAAATACCAGTAAGATTCGTTGTGTAAAATTCTATCGGTTTTTGGAGTGATTTGACTTATGTCTCCTTTTATTGATTCTTATATTTAATGTTTTTTCGGTTTTAGAATTTTCGATACACAGCAGGTTGAAAGCGTTTTTGTAGTGTTGTGTTAATATTTTTTATTTATAATTTATGTTAATGGTCTGATTAATAAAGAAGTCAGTTAGACTGAAAAAATGAGATGTTGCTCACTTGAGTTTTCTTGTGATTCGATAACAGTTGCATTGCTTGCAAGTAATTGGGACACAATCTGTAAGCCTTTGTGTAGCGTGTTGTTCGATCTTACGTATCCTTTGCTACCGAACTTGGTTACAACGAACTAGGTTTCACTGCGTTTTGGTTTTCATAGTTTTGGAAGGACAGTGAATCTGGTTTAAATACACACTCGCCACGTAAGAGACGTCACTTTACTGGCCATTGCAATTCTCTGCTGGACGTAAGTATTAAGTAAACTGGTCTCATTAAACATCTTTTCAGTCAACTTCAGTAACAGGATCGCAAGCATTACGTCGAAGTTCTGTATAATTTAATGATCTTTCCAGTCAGGAGTGAATTATGACCATGCAATTCCGCAATGACCTCCACAGAAATTTAGCCCTATTCATAAGAATGTTTCGAACACAAGTGCTCATATTGCACAGTGGAGTATTGCTTACCACAGAATTATTTGTTGTTCAGTAATTTTGTCGTAGTATGGCTTAAGAGTACCGGCCCGAGGGTAATGCAACGATCAATGGATAGGGATAGCTCTGAAATATAAAACAAATATGTAAATATAGCCGTACGGCAATTATGCCATCGGAGGTTTTCGAAACTGCGGCGCACTTAAAATAATTCTGTGAATCTGAGGTATTACCTTATCTTACCAAGTTGTAGTTGTTCTGAAGTCTGCTCTGAAAGTTGAACTTCTTCGACGGAAAGCTATTAATGTTCAGTTGCTGATCCCAGTAGTTCGTTGAACCGTATAATATTTAAACAGCGGTCTCTTCGCATTTATGATTTCGTAGTATTCGCAGCGATTTCTCCATGCAATTTTCGGATTATTATTGTACCGCCGTTGTAAAGTTCTTAGTATGCCTGATATACCTTGCTGGCATCACCTGCGTTTTAGTTCTCCATGGAATTAATTCCTTCGATTTGCTAGATCTTAAAAGTCCTAAATCCTGAACATTATTTCTGCGTTCTTCGAAAGAACTCAAAATTGGCCTTTGTACAAAGACTGTGCTTAAAGTTAACCCACTTAGAGTAAACCTAAGCTGGTATTCGGGTTAAAAGAGTATCAACATTCCCCATAATTTTCTACAGCAACTTTTACATAGGATTATGTCATGACTCAATTTATCAGATTTTGCCTCCGATTGTCAATGAAAGCCACGATGTACATTTCGTAGTGCAAAATATCCGCTAAATTTGAATATGCTTTGATGAAAATGGTCGCTCATACATGAACATTTTGAGTTATTTTAAATATCAACATTTTTTCCGCTGAGACTTTGTGTTTTAAATAAAGTTTTATTACAGTCCAGTAATAACATAACAATCGTTATTCGATAAGTTCTCCTCGAGATTACATTCCATACCGAATTTATCATCCGCATATTCTTCAGCGTTTCAATTCGTCGTCCTTCTCTAACAGTCCTTACCGAAAAACATAGTGTACAGAGAACGTTATTGTCTCTAAGGTTATGTCGGTAACTTTCTCTTTAAACTCAATTTCATGAACTGGTAGCAGTTCATAGTTGTTTTATAGGTGAGTGACGAGCACATTAGATTAAGGTACAAGAAGCTTAATTATATGACATTCTACCAAAGGCCATTTGACTGCAGTATGTTGGCTGTTTCTTCCTGGCCGTACTTTCGGTCGTAGTGGCGCCACTATGCCATAAACAGATCGAGTTGTCCGATAGAGCTCGGCGTAGCAGTGGCGTCACAACGTCCAGGCCAGTTCGAACTGCGTTTTAGAGTTGCGGCAGGTAGTATAGCGTACCACAGTCAGGCAAAATCGACATTCAAGACCGTCTTTTGCCTCTCCCTGAAGATTAATACAGTACGATTCGAAAAGTTGGAGAATATGCATATAATGAATTCGATATTTAAAGTCACAGAATAAATGAATTTTTGAGTACTGAACTGAATTTTATTACAAATGGTTCCACTTTGCTGAATACTCAAGTAAACGCAACTCAAAATTAATCTATCAACTTGCAAATCTTTAATGACAGGCACGATCATCTGCGGTCTAAGGAATGACTGTAGGTGTGGAGTGGTAGTTTTACTGCTCTTTCTTACCCAATTTTTAAAAATGAGCCTGTTTGGAGACATTTAGAAATTTAGAGGTACCAGTTTTCTGTTGCTTGACCTTCTTTAGTAGGTTATTTCAGACTGGGGTCGATGATTATTTACCGATGGCTGAACCGGAGAAACCAGAAAAACTGACAAATAGCATCTACGCGTTCATCATTGAAGCATGTACGAAGAATTTTGCATTGTTCCGATAAATATTTAATTGCATTTTTTCTACCATTGACAGTTGTTTGTATTCAAAAGTTGCTCAGCAAGAAGTTTGACAAATGCTATTGCATGTTGCTTGTAAGATCATCGTCTCGAGCCCGTCGCTTAAGCAGAACGTATTTGATTTTCGGTGTTTGCTTTATCCGCACGTTTTCAACACTTGCTATAGGACACTGGTTACTGCATCTCAGAAAAATATATTTCGTTCTGTAAGCAGAGTTGCCGCATCTTTGTTCCTCATTATTTAATAATGGCTTCCTGGTCGACATCTTCCTCTATTTTTAGCATCAACATTTACGAGGTTACCGAATGAGAACAGAGTCATCCCTGACGTGATTCTGTCATTTAGCCCTCATCATGTTTCGAAGTCAACGCTGTTGTACGCAGTCGCAGTCTTGTTCTTTTGTTATAACAATTGTTTCCAAGCCGCTACAACATTGATCTGATAAAGGCGAGGCAAGGCACCAGCAGATTTTAGTGGGTAGAGTAATTCTTCTCGCAACCGAAATATTGGGGAGGTTTCCATGAAGTACCTGTGCCTAGGGCGATCCACTTAGCTAACTGTTGTTAGACAATTTCATCGCAGGTGATGGAGTCAAGATGCTTAAAGTGGTCAACCTCGAGAGTTTTACCTCTTGTTTTTCATGAGTCTGCGGTTTCGAAGTCAGCAACATAGCTAGCCGGATACCTTGAACTACCTGCCCGTCGAACCTTCTTAGCCAGGGTCAGCAATGTTTCAAAGAAATAGTCGAGAAGAATATTGAATAGCAGAAGTGAAAGCACATATTCCTGACAAACTCCACAGTTAATAAAAGAATGTCGTTCATGTATCCCTCTTTCAACTTTGGCAGTGAACTTGATTCCTGTTGTGCATCTCTTCCAAAATAGAAACAGTGTGTTCCGGTTTCCTATAGCATTTCAAGATCTTCCGCATTGTTAGGTGATGTGGTAAATCAAGTGCAGCCTTAAAGTCTTAGAAACTGGCACACCAAGTCAACTGGAATCATCGGCAGAGGGAAAATATTATCAGATAGGAGTACACCATCCGGAGGCATGCTTCATTTTGGCGAAGTCTCCCATCAGTTGCCCTGCCTCTGCCATTCCATGGGAAAAGTTTCCCGGCAGTTGACAGTAGTGCTATGCCACCATAGTTAGATCACTCGGTTACCCGATCTCCTTTAAAGTGCAGCGACAGTTATGTTACACAATGACATTTTCCTGGGAAACATTTGCAAGTCTACATTTTATGAAACAGGGCATAAAGCGTATCTACTCCTCACGTTCCTGAGTACTTAATTGGCTCCTCAGGAATCATATCCACCCCGCAGGCCTTCTTTGCCTTAATGTATAAGCAAGTCTTTTTGAATATCTAATTTTGTACGTATATCTGTACTATCCTCTAGTGTTGGCGGAGAATCAGCGTTAGGAAATGACGAATTTGGAGGGCAGCTACTGAACAGTTATCGAAAATTTTCAGCTCATCTTTTGAGGCGTTCCTTAGGATCTGGCACTTTTAGAGTCTTGTGAAGAGGGCAGCCCGAGTTCCCTGATTATCGGTAAACTGTCATACCCCCTCCCTTTGAACACTGTTCGCTACTCGCCTTTTCTGCTTACCTTATCGATCTTCGTGATTTTTCGCTGCTGCCAAATTTCCTTGTCCCACCTGTAGCTTTGGGTGACTGCACAAACGAGACCGCGGTAAGCTGCCTTCGAGGGTAGAGGGTACAGTAGACTGTTCCATGGTACAAATGTTCCATGGGTACAAATACTCATTCTTTGCATGATTCAGCTGGACTCTAATGACTAGAGGACCATGACCTGTGGCAGTTTCGCTCTTTTTCTGACCATAACTATGTTTTTCGCCAAGGATTTGACGGCTTATTTGAACTCACTGTAAGCTTCATCAACGTTGCCACTTCCTGATTTGGCGCCAAAATAGACCTTTACCCCCTTTCAGTGAGCCGACCATGTCGCTTCGTCATATTTTAGCTTGCCAACGTCGAACAGCTGACGTGTTTCAGTCAGACAGCGTCGATGCGACGTGGCCAGTTTGAGACGATTTCTCCTACGACCGCTTGATATCAGACCCAGTGGAGGTGACATCTTTTGCGTGTCTCGAGTAACAAACTGCACCATTTGCGGTTGGGGAGGATGTGGTCCAACTGGGTGTTTAGGCTTTTATTGGTAGACATCCAATTGGTTTGCTGAATATGCTTATGGGAAAAAAGGGTCCTGTGAAGGA